AGGCAGGACCCGCAGCCATGAACCGCTTCAATGGGCTCTGCAAGGTGTGTTCGGAGCGCCGCTACCGCCAGGTGGGTGCTTGGCCCTTGGAGTGGGGGGCTGTGGGGTGTTAGGTGCAGAGGGCTCACCAGAGCGGGACCTCTCTCCCTACAAGGCCTTCCTTGCCTCCTCCTGTCCCGCAGGCTCATTTTTGTTCTGGGGGAGGACAGATAAAGGAGCTGGACCCAAGGCCCGGCCTGTCCCCTATCCCCATCCCAGCTCTGCACGGTGTCCTAACCACTCACTGGGTGGTGTCCACGGTGACATTATCTGACTGATAATCTGTACTTTTTATTTGGGAAGGAGATCTGGGTTAGCGAAGGCATCTGAAGCCAGAGGAGGAAAACGGCTCAGGTGCTGAGTAGCTGGGGGTTCCTGGAGGGAGGTTTTGTGTTTTCCTAACTTTCCCTGCTCCCGATGGGACGGCAGGGTGTCTGCCTGCGGTGTGTGTGCTGGCGTGGGAGACAGCATATTTCCGTCATGTGCGCACACTCAGGTTTTCCTCCTCCTAGCCTGATGCCTGGAGGCGGCTCAGGATTCCAAGGGCTTTGGGGTTGCCCTTCAGTTGCCAGGGTTTGACTTAGCAGCCTTGTCTCGGAAGGTGGGGCTGAGTGCGGAGTGCCGATTCAGTTAGCCCGTGCGCCTCTTCCGCCACTGTGCCAGGCATTCTTCCCTGCACAAAAGGAACTGGGTCGCGGGAAAGGCAAGAGATGTCCAGATTTCAGGAATATTCAAGATGGAAGGGAGCGCAGAAGTTGTTCTGATTGGGAAAAAGAAAAAAAAAAAAGTCCCTGCGTTCATTCTAATGACCAGACTGTAATCTGGGTTCTGACTCCTCTAACAGGCGGTGCTTAGGCCCCAAGGAGAGGCCCAGAGGGACCCTTGCACCAGGCACCTGCCCATGGGGGACCTGAGTATGCCTCCTCCAGCCCTCCGCAGGCCAAACCTTCTGTGCTTCCTGTTCTCCTGGAGCTGGGCAGAGCAGCCCCCGATGCCAGCATCTGGGTGGCAGTGGGACGATGCCGAGGGCATTGGTGGATGTCCAGAAGCCCTTGGTCCCTTTGAGACTGTGGACCAGGAGACCAGGCTTACTGACAGGCAGCGGGGCCAGGCATGGTATGGGCAGATCTGGGGCTGGCACTCAAGAGTTCAAGACGGTTCCTGCATTAGAAACCAGCACAGAATTTAGGGCATCAGGCTTTTTGTCAGACCTGGACTCAAATCCAGCTCTGCCCCCTTTTAGCTGTGGCTAGTGAGCAAGTCCATCACTTCTCTGAGCCTCAGTCTCCTTGGCAGTAAAATGGGGATAGTAAAATCCAGTGAGGATGCGGTGGGAGCCGGCTCAGGGTTGGCTGGCACATTGAGGAGCACTCAAGAAATGGTGGCAGCTGGGATTATGGTCTAGACATGACTGAGGACAGGCTGAAGGGCAGGATGATGGGCTGCCACGGGTGAGACCGGGGAGTGGGGACAGTTCCCGCCCTTGGGCAGGACAGAGCAAGAC